TTATACTCACTGTGGCTTTCATTTTGCGGCTGGTATTGTGGTGTCACGTAGATATATTTATATTTAATATTATAGACACGATCGAACGTTCTCGTTCACGAATACTGCACAAATTGTCATGTTTTAATCGCACACGTTTATATATAGGTAGCCAGTGGTTTGCTTAACTTACCTTACCCATGAGAGTGCGCCGCGGTATAAACTATATACATATATCATGTATTATATTCTGCTCGGACGGACTAGGACAGGTCCCCGGGTTATTATTATTGTTTATTTTAGGAGGAGAGCAAATACTGCCCAGAAGGGTTGACCCGCGCAGTGCAGATGTGCAGTAGATATTATAATAATATAAGGCGTTTGCATATTATGCGTTATGCAATTATACTCACTCGGTATTTCGCCGTTTCCCTCTCCGTCGGAGACGTCGGACAGGCCAACGAGATCACGCTCGGGTGTATCGCAATGGCTAACAGATAGCTAGGTAAATAAATATTATGTATACATAAGTATATGGCTTATTAGGTCCGATACAGTAATAGTTGTATAATTGTATAGTACGCCGACTAAACTGGTTTGTTAGGTATTTCTTCGGTGTGTATAAGTTTCGTGCACGCATATTATTATTTTGTTGATATGTACCTATTATATATCGTAGGTACGCGATGCTAAAAAAAGTTTYGTGAACTACGGTTTATTTTTATAATAATCCTTTTTAAAACGGTTATACATTTATAATTATTATCATTGCGATATTTGCACGTATTACATTACGTATTTACGTAGTTATTCTATATATTGATGATAATTGATCGTGTTTAATATATTATCTCGTATGTCCTGATTGAATTATTATTATTATTACTATTATTATTATTATTGTAATTATTATTATTATTCAAGTTCTTTAATGTTAGGATCATAATACTTTTATTCATATTATTATTACGCCACGTGGTCTACAAACGTATTACATAGCTGGTAGTAGTAAGTACATATGCAATMATACGTACGTAGTACCTATGTAATGAATAATTATGCCAATTATGTTGTCATGTAAAAATTTCGTTCTTTCCTTTGAACACGCGACTAAAGCTATAATACTAATTTTTACGTTTGAAACGTTTTTATGTAATTTAAAACCTATAAGCTTTTAATTTTCAAAATTGTACCAACCAACAGAAAAAAAAAAACTAAAACTTAATTTAGTTTTATTAAATAATATAATCCTAGCGTATTTCATGTTTTAATTTACTTTTCGTACGAGTTAACATTGACACGTAAAATCATAAGTATGACATACCCATTGGTATATACGGTATACACACTATCATTTTATTTACTAATCTATATAATGTAAGTACCTTAAATTATAATCGATGCATTTTTTGCATCTTAATATATTTACCTTGCTAAATATGCTTATACGGTGAAAACTGCATAGAGAAATTAACTATATGGAATACTTGTTACACATTTGTAAGACGGAGACAACACATGCAATTATCACGTCCTCTTAACGCGCTAGTCCATATTATGTTCTGAGTGAGAAGTAGATTAAAAGCCACGCCTACGACACTCAATTGCATTCACGGAAAGCACAATTTATTATTGATCATATAGCTAGGTTATTATTACTGCAATMCAGTTTTTAGTGTATTTTACATGCGAATTCACGCCATAACCACGTTGTTACATTTCATGTTATGCAACTGAAATGTGTAACTAAAATATAATATATAAAATCGGTAATTTTAATGATATATTTTAAACTATATAGAGTATAGACGCAGAGTATTTCACTTCCTTTATTAAGTTTATAATTTATAGTGGAGTTGTAGACTATCGACTTAAAAAATAATTTCTTGCTTGTGATACAAGATCATGATTTAGTTATTACATTTAATTAAATCATTTCTTGGCAATTTTAATTTTTGGAATTTATAGGTATTATAGTAAAGAACATACCTTAAAAAAATATAAAATTAACAAGCAGTAAAATATATACTTATAATTATATCGTTTGCTTTTGCAGTACCTATTAACCAGCGCTGTTCTACAGAAGTATAACAAATTAAAATTATGATTGTATATTTTTCAATAATTTTATATTTGATTAGTATTTTTAACCATAAAAATTRAAATTGAAGTATATACCATGCGTATATTAAATTCCGATACTTAAAAGGTAAAAGTCTGAACTTGTATACAAGATGCATGGACGTCTCAAGGAGGGGGCATGGCGGGGCACTTGCCCCCCTTCTTGAATTTTAAATTAGTTTTCCAAAGCATGATATTTAATACACCATTTTAATAAATATATATTACTTTTAAAATGTTAGCATAAAATTTATAAAAATCAGTAAAAGATGAAGTAGATCTTATTAAAAATACAAGAGTTAAAAAGGATGTGTATTTGTATTGATAGATCATATTTACATGATTTGAGGATAATTTCTGGAATTTTATCTAGACCAGGATTATAATTAGTACTTAAACTGTCCAATCCTAAAAATATTTCTGATAGTGAGAACTGTATATTCGGTAATTTTATTACATCAGCTAACTAGCCTAACTGAGAGATATAATTATTTACATCTGGGGTATCCATAGAGTAAACAGAGCTAATTATCTTTAAACAATTCAGTTATTCTAGAGCCATTCGATTTACTAATATTATCAAGTTGCATGACAGATGGAATATTATTATTGGTTTTTAAATTTTTAATGTAGCTCCAGAAAGTTTTAGAACTGTGAGATAGATGAGATTAAATATTGTTGATATAATCTGTATGGTTTGACTTAGATTCTATTTTACATTGTGATCTTAGTTGGAAAATTAAATATAGTTTGTGCGATCAATTTTTGGTTTAAATAATTTATGATGACGTTTTTTTTCAAAAATAATTTATTTCAATTTTTTATTATACCATTTAGGGAGAGTACTAGTAGTAATACAGGATGTAGGAATAAATAATTTTATTGAGTTATAAACTTTATCATAAAATACGTATCAACTGCTGAAGAAATATTAGGATGACGTAGAAGAACTGAGGGCCAGTCAATGGAATATAAATATTTATTCATATCATTACATTTACCAAGATAAAAATTAAATTCACGATTTTAGTACAAAACTGGTATAATTTTTATAAAATTTACTGTTTTACAATGTTTGTAATTCAAAAATTAATATCTGTAAAGGCTTGAAATTTCAACCAAATATTCATATTAGTATTTAATAAACACATAATTTTAAAAATATTTTGCCTCATTTTGTGTTTTATTTATAGATAGGTATTTAATTCAAGATTCTTCATAAGCTATTCTTTCACAAATTAAAATAATCGGAAATACTAGTCATCTCATTTTTTTTTAATCTTTAAAAGCTCAATTYTATAATGAAATATTAATTCATTATCATAAAATTGATTTATGTAGTAAAAAATTAATATAATTTYAAATTTAAACTTTTAACACTTGAAAATATAATACAAGATTCCGGTGAATTTTGTATAATAAGAATTTAAAAAAAAGTTTTGAGTCACATAGGTACATCTTCTATTAACGATTGAAGTTCAAAATTTAACGATATTGCAGTCACATTGGTTATTTTTATTCTTACGTATTAATACAATTTTTGTCTTAAAGGATTTTTGTTATTCTGTTTTAATTATAAAAATATTTATGGTAGAAATATTTAGTAGGTATTACTTTAGTTATGATTTTTTACATATAATATTGTTTATACCTATCCTATATTAAATTATATCAATATATCAAAATATTTATAATGATTTTAAGCCATTTATAGATAGGTACTTGAAATGTTTGAAATTTTAAAACCTACCTACTAATAACAATATACTTAAAAATCATAACATTCTTAAAAATATAGACTTATAGACTGATATGGAGCCTAACAATCGTTTTTTAATTAGGTTAATTTTAAATTGTGTTTTTGATTTCCCCATAAGTTTCATTTTGTTGTTTCAATCCATGAGATATTATCAACTTTGTATTTTGAGTTTTAATGTAATGATATCAAGGTCCAATGTTTGAAGGCTAGACGTCTTCGTTTGTATATGTGCTGCTTATTTTGCTACCGACCTGTCATTTCGTTGCCTTGTATGTGTGGCGATCAAATTAAGTTCCAGGTATTCATACTTTGTACCACTGTATTTAAATTCAATTGTATTTTCTCGAATAAATTGAAGGAAAAAATATAACTTAGGCCGAATTCTAAAATCATTTAAATGATATATGTAAAGCAGAACACAGGTAAGTTTTTGTTTTTAAAGACAAGTGATTTTCCTTGACTATGTCCTTAATTTAGTTGGCATAATCAATAATTATATTCTGTGTGTCTTAAACGTACAGCTTATTTTTTTCTGAATTGTGGTTATATACCACCTTGATAAGTGATAACCTTAATGATCACCAGCTATTATAATTATTACTAAACTCATAAAAATGTTTGCAATGATAGCTCAAAGTAAAATACATTAGTACTGAACTATACTGAGTGGGGTGTGGAGCCACAGTATCGCATCTACTACACCGATCCTCCCATTATTGGTTTGAAGAATTCATAAACTGTACATTTACATAATATATATGAATAGTAATATACTATGTTTTATTATTTGGCAATATAGAAATTCAATATATCCTTTCTTGAAAAATAAAAACAAAGTTGAAATTYACAGCTTTGCAAGTTGATATGATCACCATAAATTATATAATATATAAAATACTGATATGTGTATTAAAGATAATAATTGAATTCGGTTTCATATGACAGAAAACTGAATACCTATTTTAATATATTATTTTTTTTATTGAACATTTTAGTTTCGGCACATAGGCCATTTTGACAATTTTACAATTACATTTTTATTTATAAGTTTTTACATATTAGTCACTTAAATMTATTTATTATTAGATGCTGTTTTCTACTTTTAATGACTAGAGAAATGCTGTAAATTTTCCTGGTTGGCACTCGAGACCGATTATTTCGTACAGGTTTGATGATATGTTGTGATTTTTCCTTTTTTCTTCGTTGACTCAGCACTCGGTCAGCAAATGTTTAACCTTGAGGGTCGTTCTGCATGGGG